ACATAAATTTCGTTAAGTACAGCTCTCTAGACTATTTCCTCTTTTAAAGTGCAGCCTTGATAAAGGTAAGCAGCAATGATAAAAAACAATGTGATGAAAAAAAAGTGATGCAAACATATGACTGTATAGTTGCAGTTTCAACATTTCGTTTGTTTTGTTTTCTTCTTTTTAACAGAAAGAGTGTATAGCGTGCAAAATTAATTTGCCCTTTACTTTCAGTGCAGCAAACTCTCTCCAGAAGTTCAGTGAGGACCTCAGAAGGATCCAGTGTTGACCTAAATGATGATAGATAGAATCCACCTGTGTGTAATCAAGTCTCAGTATTAACGCACCTGCGCTGTAATAGTCTCAGAGGTCTGTTTAAAGCGCAGAGAGGCTCAAGAAGAACAAGGAACACACCAGGCAGGTCCAAGATACTGTTGTGGAAAAGTTTAAAGCCAGATTTGGATACCAAAAGATTCCCCAAGCATTAAACATCCCAAGTAGCACTCTGCAAGTAATAATGTTGAAATAGGAGTATCAGATGTACACCTAAGGCAGGAGACTGTCCATAGGACAAAAATCAGTTGTATTCTGCACAAATCTGGCCTTTATGGATGAAGCCATTTCTTAAATATATCCATAAAAATTGTTGTTTAAGGTTTGCATACCAAATTTTCCAGTTTTATATTCGTCAAAAAAAGTGTTTAAGATATCTCATAGATTTTGTTCCACTTTGTGATTGTTGATTAATATATGTATATTTATTTACACACATACACATGTTTATATGCATATTCATATACATATATGTGTGTATGTGTGTGTTTTTCACATTTTTTGTTAGACAATTGTGAGTTCCCTTTGCTATTCATTTGTGTCCCACATCTGTTAACCTTGTTTGTCCACTAGGTGGCATGATCAACCAGTCTGATGATACCAAAGACATCACAACTACATGTTTCACTATTTATCTTATCAATTAAATTTGCTTTTATTAATGAAACCTATCATGTTTTATTCTAAGATTGTATTTTGTTGTTTTTTTATGTATTGAATGCATATCTTCCCCTAACTGTCAGACTGACCTGGTGATAAAAAAATCTGATCCACAATGCTTTCTCTGAGAAAGAAAGAGAATTGACAACTCAGAATGAGTTCTGGTTTAAATTCCTGCTGCCAGTCAAGTTTATACTACAACATAAACCAGGCTTTCTTAAAGGTATTGCATGTCTGTGGCACATTTAAGCCTTGATCAGACACACAAAACGCATTAGAAAATGTGTGTCCTTTACTGAGGGAGTATATAGATGTTAGAGAGAAAATATCATTACAAGTGGGTTGAAATCCTGTAACTGCATTTAATCAGATATGTAGCCATGTACTACTTTAAAGTAGCTCATTGACCGCAATTCCTATTAAAAGCCTGTTTTGAACCATATGATATCCATTACATAAATTAGCTGTCAAGTTTCAGTATCTCCAATATGCAGATGTGGCTGAGCGAGATTCAAAGTTTTTTGCCTCTGACCCACGAGATGGTGCATTGAATGTGCATTCATTTTATTCTATTCTGGTGAAGATTAAAAGGAGAGGTAATATTTCTAATCTATTATTTTCCATGAATTAGGTTCCTAATAAACCCAGAATATAAGTAAGATATTCTTTGTTACATATAAAGCCCTAAACATCCAAGCTCCATCAGATATCAGATATCTAACAGTCCTTTATGTCCCTAACAGAGCAGTCTGCAGGTTTACTAGTAGAATGGGAGGCAGATCTTTTAGTTATCAGGCTCCCCTCCTGTGGAAATAACTACCAGTTTAGTCCATGAGCCAGACACCCTGTCTACTTTTAAGACAAAGCTTACAACTTTCCTTTTTGATAAAGCTTCTAGTTGTCATGGTTTTGACATGAAGATCCAAGTGTGATAAATATTTATATCAACAGTATGAAGGGCAGAGGAGGGGAGATTTATAAACAGCGACTCTGGGGGTCTGGTTCTCTATATGGCGGGGGATAAATGCAGCAGGCTTAATCTTCTGAGTGACAATCCTTTACCATGGAGAGGTGAGTGGGATCTCAGGTTGTGGCTGAAAGCTTGGTAGAAGAGACTAGATTTTTCAGGTGGAGGTTGTTAGTTTAGGTCAACGGCAGTTGCTGGGCCAACAGATGCAAGGAGGAACAGTTTAAGTCTGTTCTAGATCTCGTGAGGGTTTCTTGGAGAGAAGGCTCTTTACTCAAAGGCTAGTAAACTCTAAGGAAAGCTTACCTGAAATGACTTTCACTTGATCTAACTAAATGACATTTGTTTGATCTCACTAATAGTTCTCAAGGGGCTTAGGAGGGCTTGAGAATTATATGGTCTTGGTTCTGTTGTACTGTACTTTTCTTTGCTCCTTGTTTTCTAGTTTTATTGGTTTAATTCCTATTTTGTTGTAGTTTCTATATTTATGTTATGTCTTTTTTTTAATATGGTGTAAAACAGGTAAAATATTCATTATGTTTTTCAGAATTGTAAACATTTCTGTCAATGAAAATTTGCATCATAACTTGCAACAGATGTTTCAGTGTGGTGCTGTGCCAGGCAGGTAGCCCCATGGTCTGCAGGTTCTCACAGATTTGCCCCTTTTTAAGTGCAGATTAAAGACTCCTTTTTTCAAACTATCTTATAGAACACACTGTTTTATGCTTAGGATTTTTGTTTTTTACAATGTTTTTATCTTTCTGTGAAGTACTTTGGTCATCCTGGTATTGTTGTAAAGTGCTACACAAACTTTGATTCACAGGTTAATTTATTCTTCTGACACATAGCCAGCAGGATGTGTGTTCATGAACTATATAAGACAGTCCGATTATTCTCTGATTAAATAATATATTTACCACCCCTATTGGGGTGGGCAAAAATATAACATAGTTGCACGACAGAAAACTGTGTGCCCTTGAATCTAAACCTAAAAAGAAAAAGATTAGTCTAGTTTTCATAAAACAGTGTCTGTGGTGGTACCCTGAGATGAAGCTGAGGTTATCCTGTCTGCTTTGTGCATTTCCTGTTTCTCAAAAACATAACCCATCTTTTGTCACGCTTGGTGGTTGCTTATGCTGTAAGAGAAAAAAAGCATGGTTTTGCTTGAAGATGGTTTCGCTTTTGACTTGAAGTTGCATTTATGCCCCAACAACTTGATGTGCTGCTAAGCAAAGCTGACCATTTTAAAGTAAATCAAAGAAATAATAGGTCATGTTTGTATATTGAGTAATTTGTGGAAGCTGGTTTACAATGTGGAAAGGTTACTCTGAATGCAATATGACCCTCAGCCCTAGTTGAGTATAGTAGAATTTAAGGCTGTGTTTTTATCAGAGATGGCTCATATATCAATGAATGCGCTCTTGACTCTTTAAAAGTGTCAAGAGTGTGAAGTTTCAAGTCATGAAAATGACCGTAACTGAAGACTGAGATGCTAAGGGGAAAAAATATTGTGTTCTGTGCTTACAAAAGATGTAATAAGTAACAGAGGGAAAGAGATCATTTTTAATAAGAACTGCTCCATGGGATGAATATAACTTTATTTAGTGAGAGCCCCGCACTTTGCGGCCCACCGCCAGCTTATTCACACCTGGTCACTGGGAAGCTTAGGGTCATTTTTAGTCTGAGTGCGCCTGAGCTAACCAGGTGAAGCCAGTTACGATATTTCGTCTGCATATGAAGAGCTTGGCTGAATCTTTGCTCAATGAGACAGGAGGTGCATGAGATGGACCATCTCCAACATTACAGAGCAACTGCAGAATGTCCAGAACAACACTTTTCCTCCTTATCATTTTGGAGATCAATGACAATTGATTGTTCATTACTATGGAGACCGTTCTTGCTCAGATTGTCCAATCGTGGTCAGCGAGCCAATGGCGACATTGGGGTGTGCTGCCTTTCACCCAGCAGTTAAAGCAGCAGACTCGGGTTCTTGAACTTAAACAACAGCTCGATTTTTAATTTGGAAACTATGAAAGTTCAAGATGTAGAGTTCAAATATACTTCTTAGAAGCAAAATTAATAAAAATCAGTACTCATGCACCAGTGCCCCCCCAAAATGTTTAAACTGCTTTAACCAAACTTACTTAACCAAAACTCAGAGTAATTATAGCAACAATAGGCATGTTTCCATCAGCTTTCTCTAATAAACATTTGGAAGTACTGTATCAGAAAATCTGGATGGAAATGGTAAATTTGTGGTTATTGCGCAACACAGGCAATTGAACTAATTTTTTTGAATCAGCTGTGATGTAGCTAACTAGCTACCATGATTGATCAGGTGTTTCTGCTAATGACTTCTTCCCCTGATGTTCCGATTCTATGCGGAGACATGGCTTTCATCAGTTTCTGACAAGTTTTATTGTTTGACAAGAACTGAGCGGTCAAAGTATTTCACTGTGTTTTGAAAGAAGCTGAAAAAAAACATTATCTTCAAACAGATACTGGAAAAAAAAAACAATGTGGTATACTTTTTTATCTCAATATCAATATTCATTTGGAGTGTTTTTTTTTTTTATTAATTCTTTAACTACTTCTGGCACTGATTGGCAAATTAGATATTAGATATCTTGGATCAGAATATGGTTACAAATGTATATATATATATATATATATATATATATATATATATATTGTTTGTTTCTCCTTAACATTGTTGCTGATTGTATTCCTTGTATTCCCTGTGGTAGGGATGCAGCTGAGTTGTATGTATTTACAGTAGTTGTTGTTTAGCGAGTTTGCTGTGGTGCCAGAGCAGTTAATGACTAGGCGAACCAGGTGAGGTGATGATGGCTACCAGGTGTTCTGTATCACACACAGACACGCACAAGCTGATAAAGGTAGATAAAACAGAGTTGATGTTGAGTTTTCATCAGGTAGTAGGCATGCATGGTAGGTGGAGAAAAGCAGAGATTCAACTTGATAAGCTAACAGTGCTTCGAAAGAAGGCGGATCTTCATGCTCACTGAAAATCATACCACAGAACACATTCAGATGTAAAGAGTATGTGGCATATGGGGGAAGTAGGGTACAGTGAAACAACACAGAGAAACAGCACCTAGATGAGGACATATGAAAGACAGGATTTTTACAACACTTAATTACAGCTTGATGTAAGTACAGTTTAATAAAAAATGATTTTGTGAAAAAGAACTATTTGTAATTACCATAGCAACTGATGGGGAGGGATGGGGAGATTGAGTTTTGTCTAATTTTGTCCTTTTAGTCTTTGTTTCTAATAATCTCTGGAAAATGAGTTCATAATTACACTTTTAACATGTTTTAGGAAAAAAAGCTGAACCATCTTTACAAATACATCCAAAAACCATCCTCCTTCTGTTAGCATTTTCAATGAAGGCCATCAGCATGGTTTATTTTAATTTAATGCCGAAAACCTTTGGACACAAAACAAATAAGCAGTATATATATATATATATATATATATATATATATATATATATATATATATGAGAGTTTGCAGGAAACTGTCAACAGGTTTCAGCTTATTTGTGATAAATGTTCACATCTACATGTAAAGCGTTTCCGCTTCTCTAGTAAAACTAAACTTTAGGAAGTCATGTTGTAAGCCAGTACTTTACTTCTTAAGCAGCTGACTTCTTTTTGTAATGCACTCATTCTTTCCAACTTCTGCTTTCGAACATTACTGTACAACTGAAGAGCAAACTGAAAGTGTTTTTTCTTAAAAACAGTTGGGTTGACATAATGAAAATGTAATCTTTGATGAAAATGGGGCCTTCTTTACTTTATATGGGGGTTTTAAGGTGATCTTCACAGGAGTTGTTGATGAATAAGACATCATTTTTAGATCATCTAAAATCTGAATGAGATAGCTGAGCAGAGGGTGAGTTTAGAGTCATTTCTAAATTGGGTTTTAATTATTTGGGGAAAAAAAACTGCTGTCTACTGAAAGATAGCTATAAAGTTTATAGACACATTTTTCCTGAACTCTGCAATGGTTTCACCAGTAACATCGGGTATACTGAAACTGCTCCCCCCCCTCCCATACCCACACACATCTGTGGATGCGCCCAGAAGTGTTGATAAACTTCCATCCCATCAAGAACAGCGGCCTATGGACAGCGTTCACAGACAAGTTGAACGCACTCATCCTACACACACTACTAATGTCTCAAATGGGATTTCATGTGACCCCAGCCTTGCATGTGACCGTCTGCTGAAATTTCTGTCTTGTGTTACATGTGCTTCACTTATCCTGAGGTTTTTTGATATCTCTAACCGTCAGTGATGTCAAAAGTACACACATTTGTTGCTTAAGTAGAAGTATAGATACTGCAGTTTAAAAACACTCTGGTAAAAGTTGAAGTATCAACTTGACCTCTTTACTCAAGTAAAAGTGAAAAAGTATGTGCACAAAAACTACCTAAAGTATAAAAAAATAAAGTAACTTTAAAAAAAAAAAAAACAGCCAGCTGCCACTATATGAATTTTAAATCTCAATTTTTTTACTACTTTTAAAAATATATTGAGATAGGGCCAAAGATGAGGGAGGTCTTGTTGGTCTCTAAAGTTTGAAATATGCTTCTTATTCCCCTCTCCTTCCCAAATGTGGCTCCTATCTTTCCACATAGAAAAAGGCAGCATTATACAGCTGGGGCCCTCGGCAGCCGTAAGAATGTGCCAAAGACAGCGGTCTGCGGCACGCATGGCCTCGGTAAACCATTCTCCCTCTCAGCACGCCTGACACCCCATCCCACTCCACCCCAATGTATGTGATGTATTGTGATAAACAGTTTGTACTAAATTGTAGTTGACAATAAAGTTGATTGATTGATTGATTGATTAATATTAGAATTGTGTTCAGTTTGAGCGGCCGTTGGCTAAACTGATTGGTCAAAACGTCCCTCTTTTCACCTAAACTAAGTTAATTTATGTTGAAAATATCTAAGTTCTAGCTTTGATGGCTACTCCCTGGTAGGTGGAACTCTTGAAAATTATACTCCTGTTGTTAATTTTTTGCCCCAGCAAATACTGTCTCAAATGAGAGGTGGACGTCACTACAGCCGATAATTCACACCTGGTGGTGCAGCAGTTCTGCTCTGTAGCAGACAGTCTATGATCCTCTGTTTCTCTATACCTGAAACCTCTCCTAACCCTGCTGAACAGGAAACAAAACAGTCCTAATACCCAATGGTGGATATTATAAATTAAAATCCCTTCCTAGCTTTCCTTCTTCCTGTTCACTTAACCAAGTTATCAGCCCTCAGTCTGTGTTGTAGAATTGGAAATACATATGGTTGCAACTAATCGCTGTACAGACGTTTTACTTTTCAGACCTGAATTATGCTCCGCTGCCAATACCACATGAAAAAGGAAATAATTGACCTTGATCCAGGGTGTATCCAAGGAGAGGAGCTGATATCAGGTGCAGCTTTGCTACTCAAAGGCCTTATAGCATTTGGTCTTGAATGGGCTTGAGTATAATTCATAAGCTATATAGCCCAAAGTGATCGGTTCCCACTTGCTGACAAAAGCTACTAACTCAGCAGCTCTGTGGTTTTTGCTGTCTAGCATGAAGGAACAAATACAGATGTCTCTCTGGTGCATTGGTGGTTGTAATGGTGCCCTACTTATGAAACTGAGGTTATATGTCTAAACATGGCTGGGGTATTTCCTGCTTCTCAGAAATGTGACCCATCCTTTACTGCTGTTCTCACACTGGTTTAGATGTTGTGGTTTTTATGTTTAGGGGAAAGACTGGTGGTTCTGATCTATGGTCATAAATATTCTGAACAACAATCAACAGAATTAGGTGTGACCTTAAGCATGACTATGCAGTATCTGAAAGCAGATAAATATCCATAATAAAATACTTTTAAGTTTAGAGGTTTTACAGATTTCTTTGGTAATTCTTTGAGTAAGGCCGAATGCCACAGACCAACCTGTCCCATTTACAAAGAGATGGTCTCCCTGTGACCTACTGACAGCCTGTTAGTAAATAATCTAATTCGAGTCTCCTACACTACACATTGGGTAACATTTGACTTAAAAGAGTAATGCTTTTTGCTCGCATTCTAACTTCAACAAAGTTGTGTCTTTATAGAGCTGTAAACTATATCATGGTTGATGATGTAGACATATTTCATTTCATCATTTTAGCCAAGAAAATTTTAAATAATGCACTATTTTTGTGCATTTGCATTAGTGGGCCTTTATTTGTGTGAAATTGTGAAATAATTCACAATAATTTATAGATGCTGGAGATTGGCCTGTTATCCAGTGTAGTCCTGTTTCTCTGACTGTGACTGGCTAGATGTGCTCTGTTCATCCTTTGACATGCTAGCTGGCTAGGTGCTCCTCTGCCTGGCTGTGTGTTTCCTGGACGGGGCCGCCTTTTACAGCTGCTTTTTGTATCTCTGCTTCTGTCTCCTTGAACCCCAGTCGGCCTCGAGAGATAGCCACTCATACTGAGCCTGGTTCTGCTGTAGGTTTTTATCTGTTAAAGGGTAGTTTTTCCTCTCCACTGTCACTACAAGCATGCTTAGTTTTAGGGATTGTGTTTGAGTCAATGAGTCGATGCAATCATATGGATGCATTTATAACTTAGTGTATGAATGCATCCATATTTGATGGGGTAAATGCATTTTTTTTTTTTTGGCATGTATTATTTTTCTGCGTTTCAAATGTACCATTTGAGAAACATGTTTCGAACATGTAATATGGCAGCTTTGCTCTACTAAAGAGTATCTGTAACTGGCCTACTGAACACATGATGGTTGCCTCTGGCATCAAGTAGACCAATGACATTACTGAAGAGCCTGTGTTTATATGACCTTCAGTTTTCTGCACTGTCTTCAGTGTGAGGAGCGAATGTCGCTTTGGAGTAAAGTATTTCCAAAGGTCAATAGGAAAAGTAGATAAAGGAGAATAGTACTTGAGGTCACAACAAAATTAACATTTTCCGCTGCTATGTGTTTATATGATTTAATTCCAATGTTAATAAAATCAACAAAATAGACTATTTGGGGTATATATAAATATCAATCCCACTTTTTTTAAGTTCATTGTTATAGATTAAAAATGGGAGATGAAGTGTTATTATTGTCACACTTTTTCATGTAAGTGGGTGTGTCTAATATTACTGAATTTTAAGTACATTCCAATTTAAAGAAGAAAAACATACTGTGAGTATGTAGTAGTACTGTGTGTGTATGAAATAGAAAACAGTATTAGGACCAAAAAGGCATTGTTTCAAATGACATCTTTAAAAGAGGCAATGAACAAATGTTATTTTATAGAGAAAGTGCTAAAGAAGAGTTTTGTGAAGAACTAAAAGGTATCTGTTAAGATAGACTACAGTGTGATGACAAACACCATCTCTCTGAGTTTTTTTGCCGTCTCTTTTATACACAGCCTGGCCGGCCATATGTGCATGTACCTACATGCTTGAGAGCAGCTTTGACTCTGACATAGCCCCTCCCTGCCCAGAAAATGCCAGCGCCAGGCACAAAATGGTGGAGAGCACGCCCAGGGGATCAAACCGTCCTCCTGCTATTAGCATTCTTAAGTTATGAGTAACTTGTTTACTGAGTGATGATGCTGCCCTGCTGTGAAATTATCCTATGTAAATATGTGCATGCAAACTGATGGGTAAGAGTGTAGCTAGCAGTGTTGTTTTTGATTGACAGCCATCTTAAATTTAGTCTTAGTTTCCATCTTCAGGATGAAAACTATTAGTAGTTTTAGTCAAACTTTAGTCATTACTGTATGTGATAGTTTTAGTCCAGTTTAAGTTGGCTAAAACTCAAAAAAAGTTTTAGTCTAGTTTTAATCAGTTTTAAGTTGCAGCTCATAAAACATGTTACAGTTGCTGGAGATACAATGCTGCTATATAATTCATAATTGCTTTGGGGCACACTTTCATTTACAGAATTCAACTAATATTTTTTTTATAAATTAATGCCCTACTTTACACAAAAGTGTCTCACAAGAGTTGTGAAAATAGATGATCTAGTTCAACACATCATATTGGTTAAAGTAGCACACAGACAAGCTGACAAAATTTACAATAAAGGAATGATTTTAGACATACAAGGTTAATTATGCATTACTCAGAGATCAATAAAACCTTAATTACTCCAAAATAACAAAGAACAAAAACATTGTTCTTTCTGCTATGGCAATTTTAGCTTTATTTCTATGAATTTACCCCTTGAAAACCGCTGCCAAAGGGGCCAAAGTAGGTTTAAATTCATAGGGACCTGATATTAAATAAATTACACAGAGAACCTGCATAAGTGCTGCGTAATGCCATGGGAATCCGGACCTAAATGCCATGAATATGTTGAATACAATTTTGAAATATTTCAAAGAAACAGAGAAAATGTTTTAATAAAAATACAAAGAAACGTTTACATCATATTTAAATAGATACAGACAAGAGTAGACAAGTAGTTTTGTCTTTTAACTGATTATAACCATGGCTTTAACAAGACTGAAGCAAAACATGCGCTAATCAAAAAAACAAAAAAGCTTCTCCTTTTCACTCCTGCGCTATAAATCTGTAGCCAAGGTGAAGTCCTACAGATCTTAAAAATACCATCACATTTGCTATGTTCACATTCTTGATAATTCCCTATCTGTAGATTATTCACGAATTAAGATTTGAAATTTTTTAAACGTGCTGGGTAGCAGCCTTTTTTGTTGTTTTAGGATCAAAAGTTTAGTATCCCCTATAATTCAATCCAATTCAAATTAATTTCAAAATTATTATATTAAATGAATGAATTCTATAATAGTAAATTAGGTTTCCTACAGCCTGTCTCGGGGGGGGGGCATGGTGTCTGAGGCCTTGCTGCCAACAAAAGTTCTGCTTTTAATGAGGTGAAATCATAATTTGGAGTAACTAAGGAACTAAATATTATAGTTTTATACAGTATTGTTACATGTGATTTATACACTTATGCTATAGACCTTGTTTTATTACAACCTTTAAATCAAAGTACATAGGATCATAAAATTCCTAACTAAACAGAACAGAAGCATAACTGAAAGGAGAAAAACTTGTTTATTTAAATATATATTTTAAAATAAAAATATTGAACCAAGTGTCAACAGAATATAACTAGTTTTAGTTACTTTAGTTAAGTTGCGATAAATATGTACTGATACATTTAAAATGTTTGTTAAAATGCACTGACTCTAATAAAAACTGATTTCAGCTGTGAGAGAAGGTTAATGTTGTAAAACAGTACCTTAGTCCTTAAGCAGCTGACTTTTTTTTTACAGCTTCTGTGTAATAAACTCACCATTTCCAGATTCTGCTTTCAAACAGTACTGTAAAACTCAGAGACCAAACTGAAAGTGTTTTTACTGAAAACCAGGCGGTCAACATTATGCAAATTGAATCTTGGATGGTGAAGAGAGGCTTTGTTTTAAAAAATAATGTTTACTTTAGTTGTATGTTTTTTGTATTTTGTTATAAGGAACTTTATAGGATTCTGTGTTGCAAAATACAGACAGTTAAAGCCTGAACCAGATAGCTGAGCACATGACGTCAGAGGAAACTCAGCTCAAATGTGGGTTTTAAGCATTTGAAAGAAAAACAAGGAACTAAAAGATGTGTTGGGAGTTTATGCACAAACAGCAGAGATGGGAAGTACTCAAGTAGATTTTTCTGATATTTTTACTTTACTTTACTAGTTGTTTTTATGGATACTTTTTACTTCTACTCC